GTGATTTGCAATACCTACTATATGCCTGCCTTTGTCTTTTTTGTTTTTTTCTAAGAGCGCTGTAATGACTGAAATGTGAGGTTTTCTGGGACATGTAAAGTTTTGCAGAGAGCATTGTAGACTAAATTCCTGAGGTGCAAAGTTTTTTTTTTTTGTTGTGTTGTTTGCTTTGTTTTGCTTTTTTTTAGATATATTTATTTATTTTGATTGGAAAGGATGATTTACAGAAAGAGAGAGAGAAATCTTCCATTTGCTGGTTCACTCCCCAAATGGCCACAGTGGCTGAAGTTAGCCTGTCTGAAGGCAGGAGCCAGGACCTTCTTCCAGATCTTCCACATGGGTGCAGGGTCCCAAGGGTTTGGGCCATCTTCTACTGTTTTCCCAGGCCGTGAGCACAGGGAGCTGGGTGTGGAGTGGAGCATCTGGGACAGGAACCAGCACCTGTGTGGGATCTTGCTGCATGCAAGGCAAGGACTTAGGCACTGGGCCAATATGCTGTGCCCCAGACTAGCTAATTTTTTAGGGGAGTACTGTCACTTTCATTTTGAATAGAGATTGGTTGCTTCTTCTTTGATTGCTTTCAGAGTACAAAATGTATATTTTTCCTTTTCAGATTTTTGTTGAGATTAAAGGAATGTTGTAGTTTTAGTAAACCTTGAACTTGGTTAGGCAATAGTAGTTGTATACTTTGAAGAAATTTAGTATTGTTTTTGTGTATCACTAAGTCTTAAGTGAACATTTCATAAATGAGATCTCTAAAACACAGAGCTAACCACTACTCTGTAAAGATTTTGTGATATAACTTCATATAGGTGGCATTCAATCAGATTTGAAATAGGACACATGTGATTGAATATGTACACACACTAAGAATAGGCTAACATTACAAATCTCGTAACTTAGCAATCTTTTTTTTTTAAGATTTATTTATTTTTATTGGAAAGGCAGATATACAGAGAGGAGGATAGACAGAAAGATCTTCCATCTGATGCTTCACTCTCCAAGTGAGCGCAATGGCTGGTACTGCGCCAATCTGAAGCCGGGAGCCAGGAGTTCTTCCGGGTCTCCCACATGGGTGCAGGGTCCCAAGGCCTTGAGCCATCCTTGATTCCTACCCAGGCCACAAGCAGGGAGCTGGAAGGGAAGTGGGATCGCTGGGATTAGAACCGGCGTCCATATAGCATCCTGGCGCGTGCAAGGCGAGGACTTTAACTACTACACTACTGCGCCAGGCCCAACTGTTAGCAATCTTAAGATTATTCATTCAGGCAAAAATGTCAGCATTAGATAAATAGACTGTTATCTCTCAAAGAATAGATTTTGGAATTAGAACTGATAGTTTATACCATGATATTTGTTTTAGATATTTGACAGATAAGAAGGGAAAGAGGGCTAGAGATCTTCCAACTCCTGGTTTACTTCCCAGATTTCATTCCTATCCTAGGATGGGCCAATACAAAGCAACCCAATCTGGATCTTTTATGTAGGCCCCCAGGTGCTCAGGTCTCAGAGCAGTAACTTAGGGCCTCATCAGCTGAGCGTTAGCAGGAAGCTGTGTTTAGAGGGGAGCCAGGATTCAAGCCCACCGACTCCAGTGTGGAGTATGGGCATCCCAAGCTATCCATTTACTGTTGTGCCATATGCCCTTCCCTGTACCCTCACACTTAAAAGGGTTGCTTATGGAAAAAGACATTGTTTTAGAAGACTTTTTTTTACAACTGTTAAAATCTGTTGTCATTTTATTTGAAAGAGGCAGAGATGGAAGTACAAAGATCCTTTCACCACTTGTTCACTATCTAAAAGATGGCTAATGCTGTAATATAATCTCCAAAATAGGCATGTTGAGAAGCATGTGTGACACCTGAAATATGTGTGGAGTGCTGAGATGGAACAAAGGCCAGACCAATGCTGGAGAGAGGGCAAGGCAAGTGGCACATTTGTCTGAATCTCTCATCAGAAATTCTTGAGCTTTTGCAGTGCTTGATCCTCCTCACTTAGATAGAAGCTAAAAGGGGGAGCAAGAAAAGGGCATGGCCTGTTCTCAGGCTTAGGAAGCCTAGGTCATTTTCTGAAAGAGCTCAGAGGTCCCTGTTATAACCTGTGGCATATTTAGCTGCTGTGCTGCAGCCTATAATTACTTCAATCACTCTGAGCATATATCTAAATGTTCATAAATTAGGGATTGTCATTCCATAATCTGAATGTTCAAGGACATCTCCTTGTTTCTTTTTTCTTTCGCTTGTAAACCATATGGATGCCTGGGCCTCAGCCTAGATTTGCTAAGTCACACTCTTGGCTTAGTTTACATCATGGTGGAAGGATGAGCCTGAGATGGGAGGTTATGTAGTAGCGTGCCTTTTTCTAGGGAGTGTACATGTTGCTCTAGGGCACAGGAAGGAAGTGAAAGTTTCTAAGCAGCTTGTTAGTATTTTCTGACAATAGCCAGCAACGACTGAAGGTAGACAGAAGAGTGTGCTTCAACCTGGTCAATTTTCTAAAATGTGAGGTTAAATCTATGTGTTAGCACATTGTTTTCTGGAAAAGAATAAAGGGTCAAGTCAAGGATAGTGTTTTTGAAGGCATTTATTGTTATTTTATTTGGAAGAGAGAGAGATCAATTTTCATCTACTAGTTCACTAACCAAGTGCCTGCAGTAGCCAGGACTGAGCCAGGGTTAAGTCAGAAGCCTGAAACTCAACTCATGTTTTCCACGTAGGTGGCAGGGATATAAGTGCTTGAGACATCACTTGTTGCTTCCAAGGGTGAACATGAGAAGTGGAGAAGCTGGGAAATGAGCCGAGCACTCCAGCATGAGCAGCATCATTGGTGTCTTTAATTGCTGAGCCAAATTCTCCCACCCTCCCCTTTTTACTTAATGATGTATTTACACTTACAGTGATTCTGTATATGAAAATCAATTCATTCACTTATTTCCCTAATTGTGTGTCCTCTAAGAACCAAATGCATTGCTTCCGTAGAGAACATAATTTGATTTAATAATATTCTTGTCTGTAAGTAGAAAGATCAAAAAGGTTATTTTGACTAGGGTGAAGGATAGCTACCTTAGGATTGTTTAATGGATACAAATGGAGCATGATAATTAAATCAAAAATTAGCATTTAAAGAGAATTTCAGTATTTTTGAAATAATCATGCTTTTAAAGAAAAAAGTCCTGTTTCATTATCAAATGCAGAAGCAAATGTGTTCCAGACTGCTTACTGACACTTTTGAGTTTTTTTTTTTTCCTCTCCACAGTCTTGAATTCTTGCTGGGTGTGGGTAGTTGCCTTGTTTCCAAAAGTCTTACTATGGGGAACAGACGTGTCTCATGTAGAGATTCGCTTTAGTTCACAGTTACATTGCCTTCTTCATTGATGTTGAAATATTGGTTGGGATTGTTTTTTTTTTGTGTGTGATATATTTCTCAGAAAGGCGGAAGCATCTGGAGCTCAATTGGATTTTAATAGCAGGTGATAGCATCACTGCCTCTGTTGGGGGCTTTTGGTTCATTTTGTTTTAGAAGCACCAGAGATCATCAGTGTGGTCACTGAGACTTGCCTTATTATGACTGGATTGATTGATACGTGGTGCTTAAAACAAGTCTGGGTTGGAGGAACAAAAAGCAGTTTTACAAATGCAATCATACCTCCCGGAGCCTTAACATGGCTGTACCTTCATCGTGTTCCTTTTCTTAAATTTCATAACTAAGGTTCAGTTTTCTCATCCATAAAACAAAAGCATTAATTCCTGGCTGACAGAGTGACTGGGGCTGAAATGAACCTCATTTTGAGTCAGTAAATGTGACTTTTAACAAAGTACGGTTTCAAACTTGTGTGTAGCATTGTGATTGAACATGTTACATTGTCTCTCCTGAAGTTCAAAAGCCCATGCTTATTATTATTTATTCTTATTTGATTCCTTCTAATTTTAGAAAATTTAGTTGAAATATATATGTATTACATTTTACTTCCTGATTATTTTCCCTGCTTTATTCTGAAGATTATTCTGACCATTTTTTAATTTCTCAAATGCAACACAAGAAGCCATGTGATCTGAAATAGATTCAGTGCCGTGTTGTCATCAATACTTTACTCAATTTGCCTTGCTTTGCCATTATTCCATATTTAACGTATTTTTCATGTGAAGATTTTTTCTGTCTGAATAATACATTTACATCTGTTCATGAATTGGTCCTATGGCAACCTGCTGTAACACTTGGCCATGTGCTTCTGACCTCATCCTTTCCTGCCAACACTCTGATCCTGAGCATTCTGCTGGTCGTCCCTTTGGTGATCTTTAATTCTCTTCCCTTGAGAGGGGGCTCCCCTTCTGCTTGTGTTTCAGCCTTCCATTATTGCTAACTTCAGCCTTTTGCAAATGTTGAAGCTGCTGCAGGATTCAGGAACATCCAGTGGCTTTTACTCTGCTTGGGAGCAGGCAGGTCAGATGGGTGAGGAGCTCAGTGCTCTCAAGCCTTCTCATTACTCTCTCCCTGATCATGCTGGAGACTGATATGGAAGTCTGTGGTTTGATCAGGCTGGAAGCTGGCTGACTTCTTGGGGGCTGGAGCAAATCCCATATTTGACTGTGGCCTTCTACTCTGTCAGCCTTTAATTTCTGCTCAAATACAAGTGCGTCATGGCTGAGTGAAAAGAATGAGAGTGATTGGGTTTCACCTCTTGACCATGCTTCATGGGGACTCCATTCACAGGGATTGTGATAGTGGATGCACTTGATTCCAGGCCTCTGTAGGACTGAATGATTCCACAGGACAGGCAGTTGTATACAGTGTGGACATGTTAGCCCAAATTACAGGGATTATAACTCACGTCTTCCCCTCACCAGCTACATGTTTATGGTGTTCTGAGATTATACAACTCCCTGCTCCTGCCTTGCTGGTAACTTGTGTTTCCTGAAGATGACCCACATCCTGTCTCATGTTCTCAGTAAGTTGCTTTTCTGAAAGTTTCAGCTGTGAGAACTGGAAAATGCACCAGCAACTATGTCCTGAAGCACATCTTCTTTGAAGAATTTAATATTTCACCTCATTATCCATAATTAATATGCTCAACAGTTGAAACCCTTGTTTTTTGGATGCATGTTTGGATTGACAGAGGCAGAAGTTCAGAAGAGCACAGTTAGAAGCAATTTTGTGTTGGGGGCTCTGTGAATCGAGTTGCATTTGATCGGCTCGAGGTGGGCTGGGTAAGTGCTTGTGTTGTTCTCATGGACAGTAGTAATGAAAGCCCTGAGTACACAGGACACGGTGTGTGCAATGCTGGATGTTCCTGGTCTTTATAGGACTTAACACATTTAAATCAGACGATCTAAGAGGCCATGAGTGTTGTCCAATTTTATAAATGAGGAATCTAATACTGCCAACATGTATGTATGGTCATGATTGAAAGTTTTACTTCATGATGAAAGCCTTGTAATCTAGTAATTTGAAATTCTAGTTTTTCTTATTTATCTGAAAGGCAATGAGGGAATCAGAGAGCGCTCTCTAGTCTGCTGGTTCACTTCTCAAATGCTTGATCTAACCAGGGCTCAGTGAGTCCAAATCCAGGAGCCAAAAATTAAATCCAGCTCTCCTGTGTGGGTGGTAAGGACCTGACTTCTTGAGGCTTTACTTGTTGCCTCTGCTGTGTGCATTACACAGAACCTGGAATGGAGAGAAAAGCCAAGATTCAAACCCAGGTTCTCTGACATGGGAAACAGGCGTTGTAGCTCTATGGCAAATCCCTGTGCCATTCATCATACATAAGTCTGGCTTTGTAATTTTCCTGTTGCAGCTCTAATGACTTAATTTTTTCAGCTGTTTTAGGATTCTTTGTGAATTAAAGTTGTTTTTGCAATAACCCCTTCCTCATAAAGACATAATACAATTATTAGCAATTATACAAAAAGATAAAAGATTTTCATGTTTCAAAATGTGTAGTAAACTATTTTAACCTGGCTTTGGTGTTTTATGTCAGGACATCAATTTTTAATGTTTTCTTTGTTTTTTTTTTTGTATGAGTAAAAACAACTGGTAAAGCTCATCTCTGTGAGGGGTGGGGGAAGGAGTACTGAATTTGCAATTACTTCCAGTGGTACAGTTCTGGTATTAATTTCTGTCTAATTGGGTGATTGTGAGGACCAGAATTTTGCTTTCTAGTATCTTTGACTTAGCATGCTCTTATCAAACTTTATAATGCAAATTGTTGGTTGGCAAATAATATCAGTAGGTTTTCTTTGTGTGTGTTTGTTTTGGCAGGTCTTTGGTGAAAATGGAGTTTGATTTTTTTTCTCATCTTTAAAGAAAAAAAGTTGTGTAATTTTTTTTTTCATTCTTTGAAGAGGCTGTTTCAGTTTCTTTTTGATTTGTGTGTAAAAACTATACCTCTTCATAATGACGTATAGGCTGTATCCTTGTGACATCAGGGAAGATTACGTTGTTTTAAATACAGTTTTTTTTAAGAGATAACTAAATATGATGCAGGCTGCATTATGTTAGAAGTTGATGAATAATCTTCCAAGTTACTGAGTAGGTAGTACTGCATTCTCCTGTGGTTATCGGTTTATCTATTGGCTGAAATACCAATCATAGGGCAAGCACTAATCCACTAATTGGGGCCATGTGTCGTGTGAGTATTTATCTATCTGTCTGCTTCTCATTCATGGCTTTTGCTGTGGATTAGTGTTAACAATCCCATGTTTAAGCATGGCTGTGAAAACTGATGCCTCACCCAGGAGGCCTGCATTCCCTGGCCATATATGAGGTGTGAGAATGAAGTGTGAGACTGGTCTCCCCTGTGTGGACATACCCATATACATAGTGTCTGCCTCCTGTGTGGGGTTCCCCCACCCTTGCAGTGTGTGAGGAGGGACTCTTTGGGACACTTTTTTTTGTTTTTTTTGGACTCTTCTTAGCAGCCTTTGGGCTGTTTTAAAATGAGTCTAAAAAGTTTGCTAGTTCACTGGCTCTCTTGTAAACCCTTCCTCCAATAATTTTCAGTGACTGTCCCTCCTCTGTGTTTGGTTTCTTTGGTGCTTGGCAGAAATGCATCACAGGTGATCTTGTGATAGCTTTTTACTGAAGGTGGAAGCAACATGTAACTTCCATGAGGGAAGCAAAGTGCCATCAATCCTGTGGTGTAACAAGCATTCTGACTTACTGATGGTGATACTAAACCTTATTGACTCAAGACAGACCTTTCTCAGTGATGATTTAAAAGTCACATTTGTGTTCTGGTGAATGATGGTAGTAACATTACTATGAGTTGGCAATCATGTTTGCTATGAAGTTAAGTATACGAGACAGATGTATGAATGCTGGATTCTGACTTTCTTTTGAGCATTTCTGAAGCCAGAGCTTTATGAAACTGTTGGACATGTGTAGACAATGGGATGCTGGACTGTCTGACGTTGTCTGTACCAACAATGTTGGGGTACGCTTAAATAAGACTAATAGAATTATAATTCCCTGTGAAGGATTGGGAGTTTGCGGAGGGGGGCGGGAATCCTAGCCTATACGAAATTGTACCACATGATTCAAAATTCAAAATGAAAATATATTAAAAATAAAATAAACTGTTATTAATTTTGGAACCTGGCTAGTGTACATATTCTTGAAAGATGTACGTACCAAAGTAGAAGAAAATAGGCAGTTTCTAATATTCAGCCATCAGCATTCTACTAAAAAGCTATACTAATCATCCTAATGTTCTGATTGGTACAGTGTGGTATTTAGAGGATGGTAGATGGAGGTTCAGGTGTGCATCTGGGAGAACTTGAATAAATCATGTCATTTTCTCCAGTTTTCTCAGATAATAAGCAAACCTCCCATGGGCTTTGTGGAAGATTCAATGAAATATACATTTCAGATGCTCTCTGCAGTATGTGGGCACATGCTGGGGTATCACCTTGCTGAGGCTGCTGTAACAGAAGGCCACGGACTGGACAGTAGAAGCAGTGATTTTCTCAGTTATGGAGACTGAGACTCTAGGATCAAGGAGTCAGCAGTTCTGATTTCCTCCAGGGCCGCCTCTCTGCTGGGTTTGCAAAGGGCTTCCCTGTTGATGCCTCTTCCTCCCATGGGTTACCTCTTCCCATAGGTCATCCATTTGGTGTTACTGTGTGCCCAAATCTCCTTGTCCTCTGAAGATAGCTGTCCTGTTCCATTAATTCACCTTAACTGCTTCCTATTATTTCCCTTTTCAAAGATACAATCAGTAAATACTGTCATATTCTGTGTACTTACTTCTCATTGTGAATTGGGGTTGAAGAGAGCAGAGTTCAGCCCATCAGTATTTAAATGAGCTCATTGCTTATTGTAAGGGTGCTCTTAGATGTTAATTGATTGAAAACAGGTAGTGTCCATGAGATGGGTCTCTGGGTTCTTAAATAAGAGGGTTTTGCATAGGTTGGAGCGGTGAAGATTTCGTGAGAAACATTACGGTTTTAACTGGGTGGCAAGGATGATTTTAACTGAAGGTGAGTTTAAGCAAAAGGATTGCAGATCATGAGACAGCAACTATGTTTAAAATCTTGAATTTGCAATAAGCACCCTATGGGTGGAAAAATGCGATAAATTTGATTTGAATGGAAAGCACTTTATCCTCAAAAGGTTTTGAGAGATTAAGTGTCTGTGGGTAGTCCAGGCTTTGGAGCTGTTTGGTGAGCTTTAACTCTCATGTTCCCAATGCTGGAAAAGATTACCATTGAGTGATGGCAGAAGAATTTTAGGAGTGCCATAAGCATTTTCTTTTTACTCTACAAACACTGTACAAAAATATAATTTTAATATAAAAATTATGCAGCCGCTCATCATGTGATTAAATATCTTTCAAAGCATCTGAACAGCCTCTTTGGTCACCTGTGACAGTGGCTAGGTGGCTGGGCTCTGCAACACCCTGTTGACACAGTTTCTTCAACTTGTTGGCCTTTCTATGAGGACACTGCTAGGAGTCAGAACCTGCCAAGCGCAGTTGGGTTGGACATGGGATTAATCCTTGTGACAGACACTTGTGGAGTTTGAACGGTTTTCTTTGATTGTAAAAATATTTCTTACTTCCACCACATTTTTTTTCTAAATATTTTTACCATTATTATTGTCTGGGCCACATTGGCTATCTTTATAAGGACAGCATTCTTTCTTGAAATGTAATATAAAATTTCATTACAAAATATGTAGTTGGGTTCTGTTTCATAAAGTTAATTTACTTCACAGAGTTTTGGAAATGCATTGGCCAGTGAAGTTTTTTGATCTTTGATTAAAATGTCAGGTAATAAAAATGTTATGTGGGTTGAGATATATCTGAAACAAAATCTACGGTAGAGAGAAATTACGGGTGCACTGTTCATTTTTTTGAAATCCCCTTAAAAGTGAAAAATTGAAAGGTCAATGTGAAAGGTCATATAAAATTAATTTTCAAAGATTTAAATGTTAATTGTCTACATGTTTTTTGATGTTAAAGTAAAAGCTTAATAATCTTTGATTTGTTGTTTAAGCTGGGAGTTGATGTCACTATAAATTGAATTAGTGGGTGATTCTAAGGAACAACTCATTTAACCTAAATTTACTAGAATGATCTGGAGTGTTAATTTCCATTTCTTTTTAAAAACTGGATTCTTTGTGATTTTCCATAATTATTATAACTTTTTTGAGAGAGAAAAGGAGCGACATAGGTATGCATACACGTGTACACTGAAGGTCTGTCTTCTAGTGATTTTTCCAAGTTTTTAGGAAGGTCAGAGCTGAGCTGGGCTGGGCTGGGGATGACGTTGGGGAGTGGGAACTCATTCTAGGTATCCCGCACAGGTGGCAGGAACCCAGTTACTTCAGCCGGCACCACTGTCTCCTGGGGTCTGTAATGGCAGGAAACTGGAGTTGGGAATCAGAGGCAGGTACTAAACTCAGATTTGTCAATGTGGGCTGTGCCAGCCGGTGCTGGGGCAGTAGCTTCTTCTTAACTATGAAACCGAATAACCTGGTCCATGTTCATGTTTAAAAATGTTAGTTTTAGGTACAAGTCCCGCTTTAAGATTTTATCTCAACAAAAAGGGAGTGTTCCATCTGTATTGCCAGTTGTAAGAGGCCTGTTGTCTCTTACGGCTGTGGTAGTGAGTGTTGTTACACTTACACGTAACAAATTACTTACATGTAATTTCAGTGGAAGTCTGCCATGATCCCAGACTCTTTGAGATCTCTATCTTTGATCATT